ACACACACACACACACACACACACACATATATATATATATATATATATATCTGCTCTGAGAGCTTAAGGGAAGGTACGTAGCATTCTGATAATATCTGTTTTAAAGTTTGAAAGCATGTGAGCAGACCATTTCAGTTGTGGTTTTCTTTATGATTCTTTATAAAATCTAAGTTGACATTCACTACTGATAAGAATGGATCATGTATCCTTGTACTCACTTGCTTTTTTGTTTAAAATCCAGGGCCAGACCCAATGATAGAAAGTCCATCATGTGTCTTCCCATTCATCTTCAAGGAAAAGTTCTACAGTACATGCACTAGCGAAGGCATGCGTGATGGGGAATTCTGGTGTGCCACCACCACCAACTATGATGTAGATAAAAAATGGGTATATTGCAATGACACAGGTAGGAAAAGAACATCAAATTACTTTACAAGACAAGTTCAAATATGATCTAAAGGTTGGAGAGTGATTAAACAAGATTAATTCTTACAGTTGTTAAGGAGAATAAAAGGAGCTCTGAAAAGGATCAGATATAGAGAGTGGAGCATATGTCGGGAGCATCAAAAAAGTCAAGAGTGTGTGCAATGCATTCATGAGTAAAAAAAAAAACCCGCAGGACTTTGAGGGTATGGATGCATCCATCATCTTGTCTTCTTTTTTAATTCTCCCCTGTGCACGGTCAAGAAAGAAAGATAGATCTTGTGGTTTTCTTCTCATGTAGACTTCCCAGAGTTTTGTGCTATGCTTCTATGGGGTAGGAAAGGACAAATAAATCTATTCTTGTCAAGGACACTTTTGTGTGTGTTCACTCACATGCCAGATGTACCCTTCCCCTTGAAGTTTGGCAGGCCCCCGCCCTCCCAGCTTTCTGAAGAGCACTTAAGACCTGGCTTTTCCCCAGGTGCTGGGATTGGGTGAGGTGGATGAGAGGATTTTTATGATGGACTGCATGTGGAAGCTTAACTTTGGTGCCAGGTTTTTAATTGTTATGATTTTTAATAGATATATGTATTATGCTGTTTTATTACTGATGTTGTTTTAAGTGTTGGTTGGGAGCTGCCCAGAGTTTGATATACAATGGGTGGCTATATACATGCTTTAAATAAATAAATAAATAAATAAATAAATAAATAAATAAATAAATAAATAAATAAATAAATAA